TAAATCTTGTTGATGGAGTTCTTTTGATTACAACTTAAGGACCATGAGAACTATTTATAAGTCGAAAAAGCTTTATTCTATTTGCCTGCGAGTATCTCATCTTATGGTAAGAATCTAAGAAAACTCATAATTTAATAGAGAAAGCCTATGGATATGAATCTTTTTGTGATTATTCTAACCTATATGTTTTTTACTCTATGTGTTGAAAATATGAGTGAATCACTTCGGGTCATTCTTTTGTGAGTATAATAAGATTTCCATGTCAAATCTACAGATGAAAAATAATATACTGAAAGTCATGCATATTGCTCTTTTATAATTAGCTTCGCAAAATGGAACAGTTTAGAATGTTTAACATAAGAATGTATATCGTATTAAAGAGTAAATATTTCTTTTGTGAGAAACTCAAATCTAACAATTTATTCGTGCATTCAAAATTTTAATTGAAAACTATTTTATATTGTGCAGGATGATGGAAAAGTCACTCGACAGTCTTGCGATTTTCACTGTTCGAAAGAGGCTATGTCACTACATGATTTCATGTTTGATTCAATAATATTCGTTGATGATCGAATTGTCAATCAATGAGGTTTGAAAAGCTAATAATAGCTTCATGAAGGCAATACAGAAATTTAATTCTAAGAAACGTAATAGATCCGCGTGCTTACGATTTACATCATGATCTGTTTAAGAGTTATAGGTACAACACTAGACAGAGAAGATGTGAATACAAATCCTGATCATATGGATCTAGTGTATTTGCTTGAAATTAAACTTTTGTACACATGGAATAGTAAAGTGACACGGTCTCTTTCGAACGGTGGAAGCTGCAGCTCTCTATCTTGTTTATTCGAAAACAAAGCTTGTCGGATGACTTTTGGACCATGATAAATATTCGACCTAAATAAACCTCTTTTGATATTGTTTATTGTAAGTTTTTTTTTTTCTTGAATAAAAACTATAAATTGGCCTATTATGCTTACTCATTCGTATTTCCCGTATCAATTACTGCATTCGTTACAGTATTAAGAGAGTGATCAAAAACATTAGGATATGATAATAAACGATTAGAATTACGATAATGCTTAACTTTATTTGTCGTTACAGATAGTCTCTATAAAAATAAAGAGAAAATATCAATTTTTCATACTTTTTTATCAACGAAATATTTTACTTTAAGTGAATGAGAAGAATATGAAGTTGGTCGCATTTTAATAATCCAACAGAGACATTGAAGATCATCATCAATATAATTATTTGAACATTCAACTAATCGATGAAAGAATAAAAAATTTCCTTTCGAAAAAACAAAACAAAAAAAAATTTTTTTTTTCCTAATAACCTGTCGGTTGAAATTCTCTACTATGTGATATTTTTAACCAAGATAGATTAGTAAGATCAACATCCTTAATGTTATCCATGTGAAATAAATAACTATTCTTCTATTGTCATCTAATTATCATATGGCGGTCAAATCGATATATTCAATTATTCTCTTGCAATTCGATTTCTCAAAAACAAAAAAAAATATATTTGAATAAGAAAATCATGAATGTTATTTTTAGACATTTCATTCATTGAAAAATAATACATATCGAATAGTAAACAAATCTCAAATTTTGTATAAACATTACAATGCAATCTATTTAAAGACGAAACAAAAACAAAGGTAAAATTAATAGCACATATGTCAAGTGTAATAGTATATCCGAAAAAAGCTGAACAAAGAATTATTGTTTTCTTTTATAAGACAATTATATATTTGTCTATTGCATAGTTTTTCATTAGAAAAAATAGATTACACTGGAACATGCCTCGTAGCAAGAAAGTTGTGTGTTATAAACCAATGAATTCCAAAGTTTAATGTTATTGACAATAAAGATCATTGAAAAGCTTCTTGACAATTCTTTTGTTTTCAAAAGTATAACGAAAAAATTCATTCTTTCTTAAGTCATAAATACAATAGAAATAATTCTTCATATTTAAAAACAAAACCTATGGACTAGCCCCCCCTCCCTCCTCCCTTCCCTCACTTTTTACGTCATGTCTGCAAAACTTTCTGTGAGAGAGATTTGCCTTCGATTGTCTGTCAAATTTTTAGCTTGTTCCACTTTTTAAAAATTATCACTAATCCTGATTAATATCATTCTATTGCTGATACGCTCATCGGAGAGATGCAAAATCTGCTGTAAAAACACAAAAAAGAAAAATTTTTCCGAATTGGAAAATAACTCAAAGAATTTCCACAGAATTATTAGTTTCGAATAAACATTTCTAGATAATAATTTTCAAAAAAAAAGTTTCTCCCAACATGCACTCTTGATATTTCACTTCCATTTTCATGCAAATTCTCATTCTATTGTTCTTTCCTATATTCATTTCTCTTTTTCTCCCTTCTATATAAATCTATGTTGAATAAGAAATAGTCACATTCTGAAGATATAGAGTAGTCCGATAAACATCATTAAAAAGAGTGGTAGTAAAGCTACCCCGCTGGTTTGTCATGAGACATACTTAATTCTACTTACATCAGAATGACGAAGTAACTTTCTTCACGTAATTATAACCGAGATAACCTTCTTACTGACTGAACCGTATTGTTGAAAAAAGGACTCTATAGTTACATAGTGTGACATAATATGTCACATATAGATAAAAGCTAGTCAGGTTTTTATATAGAATTGATGGTGTGTTTAGTATATAGTCAGGTAAAGAAATTCAAACAAAAGAAAATAATTATGCTGTTAATATTATTTGAAAAAATATACTTTTGTTTTTCTTTGTACATCTATTTGATGAGTACACTTTATATCATTTTATCATTCATTCAATTATTCCAATATAAAATATATTAATTATAGTCCAGATAAATGTCACATATTCTAAATTAGAGATATTGTTGTCATTTTTCTTTTAATTATATGTAATGAGATCGATTATTCATATATTGTTTCATTCACTTATTTTACTGAATTATTGAATATTCAATAGAAAGAATGACTCATGTTTATATCGAAAATATTAGCTTAAAAAGATGATAATTTATTTATATCGATGGTGTATTTATTTACGAGGCAGATGTTAAAAAAGAAATAGAGAAATCTACTGGAATATGTATTCTATCTTTGTTAAGATCAATTTATATCTGTACTTGAACTGATTTTCTAAAGGAACGACTGTTCTTTCTTATTACTATGTTTCTCAATTATTTTGTTTTCTAATATATAGTTATCAAATAGTATTTATCTTGTTTCTTACTTAAGTTTCTTTTCTTATAAATATTATTACAATTGTCCTAAGATGTAAATCATGATGACGTATTTAACAGATGTATAGAATGAAAAATGTAAATCGGACATGTGAAAAAAGCATAAAAAAGAAACGAAACACTGCTAACGATAATGATGAAAGAGAAAAATAGAGACAGAGAGAAGCAACTTGTAATATAGAGAACAAGGTTTTCTTTTATAATAATAAGACGGCAAATATCAGCATGCATTTGTAAATGTATGTACGTCTTCTTGTTTTTTTTTTCTTTTAATTCTATTGTTATAGGCAACAGGAAAATATAAACCTAATTGAAAAAATCAAAAAATTTTTGTTTAATCTATAGAAATTTCTTGATTTAGTCTCACATGAACATATTTATTGCATCTTTAGTAACATAGAAATAATTGTTGTTGTTGTTGTTGTTGTTTTTTTTTTATTTGATAGTTTGATAAAGTATTAGTGTACTTTCTATGATTTGAAACATATTACTAAGAATGAAAACAAAAAATACCTTGAATAAATTAGAATATTTTGAAGATTGAATTATAAGGCTTATTTTTTATACATAGGTCGTTAACCGATATTATTAATTTATTCGTTATTTTCAATAAAAAATAGTTGTTTTGCTTATAGTTTATTGTAATATAACCTAGTAGAATTATAAAAAAGAACATAATTCTGAAAGCTATTAGTATTTGCTTTTTAATATGAAAAGTTACCTTTAAATATTAATTTCCTGTTTGATAGAGCTAAAAGAAAAATTATTCATAATGAATGTTTACTTTTCTTTAGAGTACAGTATATATTTAATATTCTTAATGTTTACAGAGAGAACATCTCGGTAAGTCATTTAGTTATTATACATTTAAAAAAAAAATTATAATAATAATAATACTAATTAACCGATAATAAATAATTATTTTCTAATTAATATTTTAGTTCAAATTCTTTTTCTTTTTTCTTAATTATAATTAAATATAAAAGAGATATCCGATCAATTTGCTACTAAAGAATTCTATTTTGATAAAATCTTTGAATCATAATCTTAATAATGAGAATTATTTTTTCTAATCAAAATCTTATCTACTGATAAATTATCAATTTTCTTAAATCATTAATTATTTTCAAACTTTACTAAATTGAAGTAGTCAATCCTTTCTTTTTTCTTTTTTTTTTCCTATCCATTTCGGTCACACAGTAAGAGTTTTACTTTAACATATTCCAGTACTTGACATTCATTGCCTATAAAAAATTATATTCTTAAGAAAATTTATCAAGATTAAAAAAACAAAGCCAAGTAATTTAAATGACTTCTATGAATAGCATATAATAAGAAAGAAAAAAAAAATTGTAAAGAAAAAACTCATCATGTTTGTATGTCAAAAAGTTATTTTAAGCATTCATAGATGCATTTTACATTTATATTACTCAAAGAAATCTTTAGTGAAATATGCTTTCAAGATAAATAAAGAAGCATTATATTATTGTACTTTGTCTTTTGTTGAACAGGATAATTAAAATTTTCAAACATTTAGTCAGACACATCTCAAATCAATGTCAACAATATTTGATCATCAACCAAATCAAACATCATGGCCTTCCCGTGAATGTATTATATGTAACTCAAAAGCTATTGGTATTAATTTTGGTGCACTTACATGTGCACCATGTAAAGGTATTTAATTTTTTTTTTTTTTTAAATAATATGTCAAACAAAAAAGAAATATTTTATTTTAATATTTTAGCTTTTTTCCGTCGTAATGCTCGACGAAAAGAAGTAAAATATTTCCAAGAATTTATTTAATTGAAAAAAAAAAAGAAAATTATTATTAAATTTTAGATTCTTGAATCACCATGTCAACATCGTAATATAGATTTATCGATAGTAAATTATATGAATGATTCTTATAAAATAGATTGTTATTTACAAATACGTCGTTGTTCATCATGTCGATTACGTCGTTGTTTTAATATGGGAATGAAAGAAGAATTAATTCGAACCGATGAAGAAAATATTCGACATAAACAACTTGTAGATATGAATAGACGAAAACGAGAATTCTTAAAACAAAAACAACAAAACAAACAATTATCAATTTCACAGGTATAATAATCGATATCCGGTTTTTTTTTGTGTTATGTTGCTGATAAATAAATGTTGTTTACATCAGATATTTACTGTCTCTATAAATTTTCTTTCGACTTCCAGCTGTGTATTCTTGTTTAATGTCGTTGTTTCGTATTGATTGTTTTATATTATTTTATAGCACAACTAAATGATAAGTCCGTCCTAGCGCGTAATTTCTCAAGATCTACCTGATGATTAAATATATATAGTAATGTTTCGATGTCGTTTATGAAGATCAATGTTTTTGCTATTTTCTGTTTCGAAATGGCATTTAGGTATGATAATCGGTAGTTGTGAACAATACATATCAGTTTAAACGGCAAAATGTCGTTACCTAGTTATACCAATATGTATTGAATTCATTTAAAAAATCATCCTATAGGAAATATTTTTGTTAGTTTATATGACTATTGTCTATATAATATTATTTTTGTTTGTAGTGTATTGTAAACAATGATGTACTTTTACATGAATCAGATTGGTGTCATTTAACAAATATTGTATCAGCTTATGAAACACATTGTCTTAAAACTTATATTCAACAACGTTCAACTATGTATAGTAATGAAACAAAATCATGTCAACATCAACATTTGCCAACAAAATATTGTACAGCATTACCAATGACTTTAACTATTTCACTTTGTTCATTTCTTCAATCATTACCAGCATTTCATTCTTTATCACATATAAATCGAATGTTTTTATGTAAAAATAATCTTCGTTTATTACTATTTCCCAATATGTTTGAACTTAGACAATCGTGTTTTTTTGAACCATGGCAGGTACAAAAAAAAAAAAAAAAATAAAGAAACAAACGAAAAATAAATGTTCAAGTTGAGAAAAAAAAATTATTGTTTTTTTCTTTTCTAGATATCGCTTGAAAAAGCTACGTGGGAATTGATATGTGGTCCTCAATTATTTGAAGAATTTAACCGTACAGCAAAATTAGTTGAACGATCATTAATAACTGATCCTATAATAATACGTCTTTGGCTAGTTGTATTATTTTTTTCTTCATCACTTTTTTGTTTATATGATAATTATCTACTTTTAAAAATTCCAAAGAAAAAAACTGCTATTATTGATATTCAAAATATTTATGCAACTCTTCTATGGAAATATTTATTATATCGTCATGGATATTTTGGTGCAGTTCAAATTTATTCAAATTTAATTCATACATATTTACAAATGCAACGTATTGGATTTGAAATTGGTGTTCAAGTACGAACACGTAATGAATTACTGATTACATATGAAACACTTAATCAAATATTAACATTTGATATTCGTAATAATTAGAAATTAATAAAAAAAAAAAAAAAAAGACTCATCATAAGAATTTATTGGTGTATTTTATTCGTTTGTTTTTTTGTTTTGGTTTCATTTATTTCATAGTTTTCAAAAGACAAAAAAACAAAAAAAAACTATTAATTTAATCTTAGACTTTCGAATGATATCGCTAGTTTACGGTAGTCTAACAAAAAAAAACAATAACTAACGACAATAAACAATATGAAAACAATTAATAAATATTTACAATACTTGAAAAATAATATTATCTATTATACGTGTTGTCTTTATATTGGATTCATTTTAAACTTAATTGGACAACATGATATAAAAATGACTCGAGTCTGTTTGTCTATCTTGGGATTTCTTTTGTTTTTATTCAATAAGAAACAAGAAGGATAAAAGAACGGAAAATACAAGACGACCCGAGAGAACGGGGACAAAAAGGGCCGTATTATGTACGCAGATTGAGATATATTCTAACAGTATGGGATATATGAATGATCGATTATGAATTATGTTATTGATGAAAATCTTCATACAATATTTAAAGGTGAAAAATATGTTCGTTTTATTTTTCATTTAATCATTAGTTTCGCAATAAATAAAGGGCAAAAAAAAACAAAATATAAGTTCACTTATGTTACTAAAAATACACGACATAAATAAAAATATGACACACCTTCGCCTTTTTTTTTTTGTTGTCACCATTTAATAACAACAACAACAAAAATAAAAGGTATATTACTATTATTAATCTTGTCTATCGAAATAATATATTTGAATTTTAGATCAATTAGAAAAATGAGTGGATTTAATTTCTTTACTAATCTTATCTTTTTTGATAATATTTTGAGTATATAACATTTAGTTTGTTTTGTTTTGTTTTGTTTTTTTCGTATTTTAGACGTTTATTAATTTCTATCGACAATCAAAACAAAACCCGGTGAAAATTTCTTTTAATATTATTAATTAACTTAGTCATGCGCATTATTAATGTACTTGTCGAATGATCTTATTAACGATATATTTAGCGTAAGTTTAAAATTAAAATTTAATATTTAATTATTTTAGAAAAAAATAAAAATAATAAACGTGGATATGAAATCGTTTATACTGAAACTTCCAACCAAATTCGAGTACAGGTTTTAATTTCATAAATTTTTTTTCCCACAAATTTCCATTTTAGAGATGGAATAGAATGCTTTAAGTATATTTTGAAACTACCAATTTATGATATATTTTATTCTTCTGATCAAAATGTATTTACCTTAAAATTTGAAGGATTTATTAGCAAAATAATTCTCGAAAAAAATTCATGAAGCAGAGAAGGTTCTTTAAACGATGTTCATGAGTTCAGATCTTGATAAAATTTATCTAAATTAAATACTAGATTATAATTAAATTATATAATATAATTCTAATAGGATCTGATTTCGGACGAAAATCAATATTAAAATTAACATATTCTTTTTTCTTTCATTCAACATTTACTGTATTTTCATTAAAATTAAATGTTTGTCTGAATTAAATCTAAAATAAAATATTTAAAAAAAAAATTGTACATATTAATTATAATGAAATAATAATAGTTTTATAATTTATAATTTTGTTTTTGTTTCAATTTTAAATGTTTAAAGAGAAATGTTATCTCCAGCTTCAACTTCAACAACAACAACAACAACAACAACAACAACAAGGATTTATCATCCTAAACATCGATCATGGTGCCCTAAACATGAATGTGTAATATGTGGTTCAAAAGCTATTGGTGTTAATTTTGGTGCGCCTACATGTGCACCATGTAAAGGTATTCAATATTTAAGATGTCGACAATACAAAATTCAAGAACAAAAAAAACTTTTTTGGCATAATTGGATGGAGCTCGTCGAATTACATGTAAAAAGTACTGTTTTTAGATAATGACTTTGTATCGAAACTTGGGAAAATTGGGTTTAAAAAATTCACTATCATATAGAAAAAGTCGATTTTCTCAATAATGAGACAATATTTTTGCAAAAATTATGCATAATTTTTTTCCTAATCATCAGAAAAAAAAGTTTTGTTAATGAGACTAGAGGTTGTTAGTGAATGTTAATTTTTATAGGCGTTTGTGATTGTTTTTTTTTACCTAATTTTCATAAGTTTCGCTAGAAAAGCATTATCTAAAAATGACATTTTTTAAGTGTAACTCGACGAATTCTATCCAATCATTCTCAAAAAGATTTTTTTTCTCAAATTTTAAATTGCCAACAGCTTAAATAAAATCTTATTTTAATATTTATTCTAGCTTTTTTCCGTCGTAATGCTCGACGAAAAGAAGTAAGACATTTTTTAATAATTTATGTAATTCCAAAAAAAAAAAACAAAATTATCTAAATCTTACATTCAGATTTTACAAACACCTTGTCCATTTCGAGATCCAAATTTATTAAATTTCAATAATAATATTGATAATAATGAAAAATCAAATTATTGTTCACAAGTACGTTATTGTTCATCATGTCGATTACGTCGTTGTTTTGATATGGGTATGAAAGAAGAATTAGTTCGAACCGATGAAGAAAATGAACGATATAGACAACTTGTGGAAACTAATAGACAACGTCGACAACAATTATTACAGCAAGAACAACTAGAAAATTCATTAGTCATTCCTCGTGTATGATGATTTTTTTTTACCTAAAACTTAAAACATTAACGCAATAGAGAATTTTCGAAAGAAATATATCTACTAGACAAAATTGCTTACTGTGTACAGATACCGGATTTATTGAACGGTTTTGGGATCTAGATCTGGTTGATTGAAATTTTTCGGACTCGGTCAGATCCGACTCCGAAAATTTTACATCCGATCGAGCCGTATTTTGATATTCTCAGTGAAATTTTCTAATCAGAATTGGATAGACGTCCAGAAAATACGAGATATTATTTTTTCGATTTATTTTTGTATTCGGTGACTAACGCATCTTACATATTCCTCTAATAACTAGAGCCAACAGGATCCAACATTTTCGAGTCCTGACCAGAATTGGAACCAGTCCAATTGAGGAAATGAAATTTTCTAATTAGAATCGAATAATCGCTGCGAAGATACGAGGTACTTTTCCCTGGTTTTTTTTTAATATTTGGTGACTAGCATGTAGGATCCATCGGGTTCGGATCCAGGTCCGAAAATTTTTGGACTCGATGGAATCTACTAGCGCGTCCCATATATTTCTCAGATGTCTAGAGTCCACCGAGTCCAACATTTCCAGACCAAATCCTAATGGGCTCTAGTGTACGCTATGAGAAGCTCATATTTTAAATTAATTAGTTTGACAATGAGAGTATTCATTTGATCAGAAGTATAATCAATTAAGGTGATATATTTTTTAAATTACTTCCTTTTATATCTAAAACTTATAATTTTATCTTTATTTTTTTTTAGCAAATTGTAAAAGCAAGTGATTTATTACATGAAACAGATTGGACTCATTTATCCAATGTAGTTTTTGCTTATGAAACTCATTGTCTTAAAAATTATATTCAACGACGTAAAAATTTATTTCATACTCGAATACAAATACCTGATGATGCATGGGTTAAAATAAATTATCATTCGTCGACAATTGTTAATAATTTAACATCATTAACATCATTTCTTTCATCAATTCCAGCTGTTCAAAATCTTTCAAAATTTGATCGAATATTTTTATGTACACATAATATTCGTCCATTAATTTTACTTAATTTACATGAACTTGAACAATTATGTTATTCTGAACCTTGGGAGGTAAAACAAAAAAAATATTTTTTTTTGTTTTTTTGAATTTCAGTATTGAAAAAAAAAACATTATTATTATTTTTTGTTTAGTTAACTTGTGATAATCTTTCAGCAGAATATGTATGTGGAAGTACTTTATTTCCTGAATATGTTAAAACAAAACATCGAGCGGAACAAATTTTAATAACTGATTCAGTAGTAACACGTCTTTGGCTTCTTGTATTATTTTTTTCAACACCACTTCATTGTTATTATCAACAAACTTTACCTGAAATAGATGAAAATCGACAACAAACTATTAGACAAATTCAAGATATATATGTAACATTATTATGGAAATATTTATTACATCGTCATGGTGATCTATCAGCAATTCGTATATTTTCAAATCTCAATGGTATTTATTTACGAATGCAACGATTAAGTCAAGCAGTAAATACAGAAATTCGTACACGAAATGATTTATCAATAATAAATGAAGCATTCAATCGAGCAGTGATTATTGATAGTGACAATAAATAGTAGAACTTGAATTTTGTTTTTTTTTCTTTTTGTTTTTTTTTTATTAAACGGGTGTATTTATCATTAAGAATGTATTATTGTTTATGATATATATCTTTTTATTTTTTATTTTTCTTTGAGTGAAAAAACTTTAAAAATCATCTTTCGCTATTTTAAATTTGTTTATAATTGCGACTAAATTAAAATCAATGTAAATTATGTGTATGTATTAAAATAAAATAATAGAAAGACTATTATTTGATCGTTATATCTGATACTAACAATTAGACAAAACGGATTTACTTTGGATTTAATTGGCATTGTTTGTTTTTTTTTCTTCAGAATACTCAAGTTTTTTATATATAAAATCAGAGCTTGAATTCAAAATAATCCATGTATGATAGAGATTTTTCTATTGATGTACAGTTTCAACCACTGATACACCGCTATAAAACGTGGTATATTTTAATAGAGTTGATTGTCTCAATATTGCAGCGAACATGAATCCTAGTGTAATCAATGGATCATGTGTCGGTAATTTACTATTCAGAATTTTAGTATTTACACTGTATGTCCATAGGTTTTTCAAAGTACGGCTCTCTATATAAGATATGATATTCTATCGAAAAAGTCGTTTGTACTATTTTTTGAATAACTTTTGATATGAGGATCATAGAGACTTGCAATTTGCACCATTCAAGAGAGAAGACCTGAGGTCATCGAAGTTTGATTGCTCAACAAT